TGTCTTTAACTAGACCACTAGATTAGCTGTCTCCTGCAAAAATAAATATCTTATCTACTTATCTATTATATTATCTATCCAACTTGTATGTTAAAGGGCGTAATAAAATAAACCTGTATAGTAAGTCAGTAAATAAATAGATATAATTAAATCGAGTGTTTCAACATAGTCTGGAATTAAAACAGGAATATCCACTACATTTTAGATAAGCGCTCGAGTCCTTATATAAAATGCATTAAGAAGTAGTAGCGACCTAACTACATATACTTAGTATCTATACTAGGATAATATACTAAACCGATACCCAAATAATATTACGTAGGAAAACACAAAGTCAAAGTCAAAATCATTTATTTCGATTAGACCACAAAGGCACTTTTGAACGTCAACCAAAAATTTTAAGTGAAGCTATTTAGCTATTAGTGTAGATTCCTATAAAGAAGAACGAGCAAGAAACTCCATAGGTTACTCTTTTTCAATCAAGTTCACAACACAATTCTCTAGTTACATAGTTTTGTTGTTTAGATTGTGCGATAACAATGTCAATCAGGTTGAAGAGACCGAAAAAAAAATCTTAATAGACAGTAAATAATACAGTCTGGAGCTGACCAGTCCCAGTTGACGGCGCCCGTTCACGAACATGACAGCACCACCCAACACCACCCGACTCAACCATATTGTAGGGCATCGAGCGGTCCACTGCACGTGCCACCGCAATAAAACCTTTGAGTGAACATGACAACACAGTTCATTAAATATAAAAAATATCAAATCTGCACAAAATAGAGCCATGGCATTGCATGACATAGAGATCTTCCTGGTCCCCAAATTCTGACAACTGTGTCAAATTATAATGTTTCTAAAAAAGATGATAACAAAAGTCATAAATTAGCGTGCTTATAGGGGTTTCTTGGGTAAAAGCAATTATGGGTTTGTGCTATTCGGAAAGGACGACAAAAATTGCTACCTGCACCCCATAAATACCAGTAGCATGATGCATCCAAATGAAGTCGAAGAAAGGGTGGTACATTTCGGAAGCAAATAACTTAATTCATTCGCTATTGTTTCAAAGGTAAATTTCTTTTGTTGTAGGAAAGCCTCTTAGGTCATGGTACTAACCAAAGCCGTCCATTATTAAAACAAAATTTATTAAAGGTATCTGAAGTACCCACTCGTTACTACACAGCCCTAAAACAAACCAATCAATCATTGCTTAACAACGAATGTTTGTTACAATAATAAAATGAGGCAGCATTTTCACGCACCAATGGAAGGCTTCGAGAGTTCGAGTACCATATCTAAGTACTAACACTGTTTTATTACCCACCGATGGCCCTTCCTCAAACAATATCCCTTTGTTCGGCTCACCTCTTGTCGGTTTAATGAGACTCTGACCGTACCGTCACCACTCATAAATTATTGAAAGGCTAATTTTATTTACGGTACGGTGCTCGGTAGCAAGAGCCTTTGAATGCGTTCACGATAAGGACACCTCTGTGAAAGCTTGTTGCCCTAGTACTTAGGGCCGCTGATAGTGTATGGCGTGGGTGGGGTAAAGGTGTTGCAAAATAAATGCGCTGTCAGCAGGATATAACTTATCTCAATCGCGTAGATTTGCTATCAAGCTCAGGTGTAGCCATAAATGATTTCCAGTTGCAATGAATTGTATGGGTATATCTTGTTTAAGGCCGAAAGCATATTGCTCAATTTTAATGAGCAATATTGATCAATTTTAATGAAAATGTCGACTAAAATCTTCTAGAAATAATATTCACAAGATAACGTAAAATTTTATTTAACCTAGATAAAACACATGAAACTAAAATCATGAATGTTTAAAACTGTTCTCACCTGCCTGCAGAGAGTATAAATACACCTACCTATAGGTAGTTCCCTCCCTCGCAGCTCAAGGTAGTTCCCAGCTTGTTTTAGTTCGACATTCAACACTTTTCTATATTTACGGCCGACGAGAAACTAAAATAAATTGAATGGTTCCAAACCAAACAGGTAAGCGAAGAATACCATCTGTGTTTCTTCTCAGCGCGTGGACAAAGGTCAAAGGTAGGAAATTCTATATTCTCTCGATGGGCCATTGAGGTCGTGCCTACTGTCGCACTTCACACATAAACGAAACAGCAACACGGATCGTGTCGCGTGAGAAAACACACACTGAGTCACCAATATCATATATCAATATTGACACAAATCACCTTCCGGCGCTTCGCTACATTGTTTATTATTTTTATGCTGATATAAGATACGACTATAATTGATTTCTTTTATGTACCGTTCTTTGTAATATTCCGAATATACATTCCATAATATTGAAGAGGTAGACAAATATGTATAGGTACACTCTTTTTGCCGTTGTTTGTTCTATTGTAATTGGAGACGAAGAACCAGGCAGAATATAGGGAAATGGTAGGCGCAAAAAATACTGCATTCACGTTTGCAAACACTTACCTGAAAACATTTTCTGAACAACAATATCGAATATAAAACTTCTCTCTAATTTACTGCAGCAGCAACTTACATAATAAGATAGAAGAAACAGAAGCAGGCGTGTATTAAACTAATTTATTGTTTCGCACTCACTAACAAGATAAACGCCGAACTCAATTAATGTCAAAATACGTTCGGATCGTGAGCGGAACTGCTTACCTTTAGCAAGCCTTTATCAGGCCAAACAAAGGCGGACCGTAATAACCGGTGCCCTTAGGGCCCGTAGGCATAATAACTATAAATTGGTACCTAATCCCCAGCAGATAACTGGTGGAACGATAAGGACACAATGGTCGATCACAAGAAACACAGCGGGAAGACAAAGAGTGCGAAGGCGGACTCCGACTTGTGCTGAAAGCTTTTAGACGATCCTCTCCCTCCCTCCCCTCTTTTGTACAACTTCAGGCGCTTAAACAGTAAAGTGTCTCAGTGGAAACAACATCGCTCATTCGCACAGAAATAAAACCCTCTTTATCTTAATGCATTTTGTTCAATTTACTCAAAACAATGGTTTAAGCACATCCGTATTGTGTTGTGTCTAAACTTTCGGAGTAGTTACATTCAGCCTCCGCCCTCCACTTCCCCTGATGTTCAAAAACATAACATTTTGTATAAGACGTTTTCATTTGTTACTCCAAAAATATACAGATTTCCGACTATTTTTACCCCATCCAAACCGCTCCGTAAGAATATAGATAATAACGATTACGAGCCGAGGCGAATAGATACAAATGACTTCATCTCAAAAGTACATTTGATATAATAAACACATCAACGTAACAGCAAACAGACTCATAAATATAATTCCCAAAGCGACTGACAAAGTAGTATTTCATTGAACACATAAAAATACTGGAATTATAAATTCGGCTGCTATTTCTAGGTTTCTTTGAAACGTTTCGATATGTTTCCTTGGAAATCTGTCAATGTAACTCAAGACGGTCGGGAAACGTCCCCGGGTGCATCTTAATGCACCGTAAGAGCGACCAAACACCACTTACTGGAAATGCGATCGTTTTATTATGCGGCCCGCGATCTTATCTGATGTATGGAGACGCATCGAATTTGATATTACAAGTGGCTATTTGTCCGTTTATTCTTTTATTTAACGTGGTTTATGCGTCTTTACATTGTTGCACATTGTTGCCTTTATCATGTAACGGTAAACTTGGAATTCGTATGTAAAAAAAATACTTTAAAATTTTTTGTCCATTATCTTCATGTCATCGTAATTTTACGTAACAAATTATCGAACCTACCGATCCCTCGAGAGAAAGTCGCGATACTAAATTATACCCATCCTATTTATATTACCCAGACGGGGTCGGTCAATAAATTGAAAATATATTGTCTATTTATGGTACGCTTGTCCCTGAACGGGCGACCAGTCAAGGTTCTCTTAACCTACATCCCTGGCAGCTCCTGAGGGAGTACGGTGTGACGGAGGCAGGCTACAACTCGCGAATATATTAATAAAAGTAACTGAAACACTCCACACGTGCCTGCATTATTTAAATTGATCGGATCTCTCGTAGCCCCACAGTAGGTACATACTATTGGTCGAGTACCCTGATTGACCTATATTCGCCAATAATTCTACATTCAGTGATCAGTTACGATGCGAGTTCTTCAAAGTAGTTTTATTAATATGTTTTTGCATAATCATTTGTATTTTTCTGTAATGTCACGGAATTGTTAATTCGGTTAAGCACCTAGGGAAAATTGTGTGTACGTTTATTATCTACCTCTACTTACACTTACAAATAAATCCTTGATGTTACGAAAATGTATTCACTTCCACCCTTTGTAAAGTTATCTAGTAAGTTGACTCAAGCAAAAACACGAAAGTTATTTATGTTACGAAAGTAAGCTCCACGAAGGGAATTTCGGAAAATTCTCGATGACGCAGGAAAAATGAGGATACCCACGTAGAATGCTGCGGGCGGTTGTTTTTTTTCTCAATATATGTAATAGTTCAATAGATCGAGTTATGATACAATCGGTGATGCATGAGAGCTATTGTATAGTAAATGACAAGAGACAAGCCCAGCAGGGTGTATTGGGATGGTCACATGGCTCCCGAACGGTCGGACGCCGGCCGGCGACGGATGCAGCCTAATGACATAAATGCAAATTCGACCATTCGAGCTTCCTGCACGTCGCAGCCCGACTACACCGGCTACACACTACACACACACATACACATACCACTCTCTCCTTATACGGACATATTTAGAAAAATAAGCTTCATTTCAGGTACCAGTTTTTATACGTACGAGTACGACTCAACCTTAATTGGATTTAGCTGCTCAAGTTATTTAATCAACATTTTTTCTGCGCATTATTTTGTTAATTAAGAGCTTATCTGATATGAGACATCACTCATTTCTTGGTTTTCGTACATTCCGATGTTGTAGTGCATTAGACTCGCCTATAAATCCCGTAGCGACACAAGTCGTTAACTTGAAGCGACGTATGCTTGAAATAAAACCACACAGTAGTTTCTCTTGTTTTTATTACTCGGTGATCGTTAACACAATATAAAGTACTATATTTTGGTTCAGTCGGGAACTTAAAAAAAACAACTAAACGCTAAATTTTGGTACAAGACAACGCAAAGTGTACCGATGGTGTGCTATGGTACATACGATATATAACTTGAAGGATTCTAGTTTATTATCATGACACCACAATAGGTTTACATGTACTACATGGCCACTGATGATAGACCTGATCGGAATCGTACCGTCAGGATGAACAGTCAGAATGGCGGTGCCCAAAGGACTGGGAGTTTAAGGAGTATGGTGCTCGCTACGTAGGGACGATGACATTAAGGATGGGAGCATTTCGGGTGGTAGCGGAGAGAAATATGGAGTTTACCATTGTCAAAAATTGGCTGACGGCATCGGCCACGCTGTCAATCTGAAGTCTAGTCGCTGTGGTCGAAATCAGCCAGCAATAATTATATTACATTGTACTAGGATCGGTCTATCATCACCGCCAGAACAATTAGCAGCCAATAAGCCTGATATAGTGGTGATCAGGATTATTATTATTATTATGGCTAACTTATCTTATGGCTTATGCACCCATCGTTTATAAGTTATCCACGTCACTTAGACCAATATACGTACTAAGAATTTACTATATACACTCGTAAAGCATACAAAGTATCAAGGCAACTTCCAAATTAAAAGGCTTTATTAAAATTTCAAATAAGGATATTACTGCAAAACATTGGGTGCAATCGTTTTCATATCACAGGGCTTAGCGTTATTTTACACACAGAAAAATATACATACTTTATCAATACTTAGTACTAATTCGATAAACTAACTATGAGAGTAACATCGATATTGAGACAGCTCTCAAATTAATGAGATAAATAAAATTGTACAGCCGCCGACAGCGTGATCTATCAAAGCGTTACTCGGTGATACTGTTCACATCAATCTAAATAACAGTTCGACAGATCCGTTGTCAGCGAGTACAGCTATAAAGTAATTCGTAAAATGTCTTTTTATCTACGTATAAAGAAATAGCTCCATGCACACTGCTTGCGTACAATTCAGTATAAAGGACTAAATTGAAGTGACCTATAAACGTTATTGTCGAGAGCCGGCGTATCAATCGGTCGCGTTGGAGCATCCACACTCCTCCACGTTAATTGGAGCCGGCTTCAGAACATATTCATTTTACAAATTATATACACGACTACATACAATCTGCACCGTTGTAAATACAGGGAACATTTTGTTTTTATTATAACTATTGTAAGACATGCTGAATTATACAATTCTAACTGGATATAACATTTTATACAATTTCATTTTAATATGATTTACAAATACATACACATTTGAAAAGAATGAGAGATAATTTTGTAAACTGAAATAAACGAGATAAAAAGGCTCAAGTGCATTGATTTACACATAATAATAAAAATTGTACTTTAAATGCAGCAAATATTGGAATATAAAAAAGAAAGATGGCGCCGTAAATAACTTTATGAATATAACAGACAAGTTACAATGTTCGGGGAAAAAATGTTTGTAAAGTCTGTCGTACGGTACGACAGTTTGAAATACTTTAAAAAACAAAATTCGCTTTGATACACAATTCCCTTATACTTTCAAAGTGGAATCTTTACTTTAAACTTTGTTGCGTCGGTGTAGAGTTTAGAATGGCGCACTGAGCGTGGAATACGAAATGCACTCGTACTAAGAATAAATGCAAACAGTTCGGCATAGACTTGTTTGTTGCAGTTTACTTTCGCTATTGCCGCTTGAATGCTATATTTCGTTTTCAATACAGGCTTCGTGTAAAATAGAAGAAAAATTTTATTTCTTTGAGAATTGAAAATGGCATTGTTTGTGCTATTGTTGTTCATTCTTTTTATCAGACACGAGCATTCATTGTTTACATATTCTACTAGTGAAATGTTCACAACTAAAGTGAGCTAATATTAAACTATACAAGTCAAAACCATAGAGCTTCGAGGTACTAGAAATAGGTGATGTTTGTTCATTTAAAAAAAAAATAATCACGCGAAACGTGGCATCGATATTATCTGCACTCAGACTTCTATTTAGAGATATAAAACAAAATGAAACTAAAATAAATACAAAAATAAAAAAGAGCTGAACTTATCACGTAGGTACTTATTAGCTGTATACAAGGAGTTGATAACATTAAACATAAGTCACTAACTAATAGACAACACATGGAACACAATCGTAATATTTACAGCTGCATGGTTACACAGTACTTTATTTCGGACTTACGAGTAACTTGTCCTTATTGGCGTTAAGTTTAATTAAAAACAAGTATTTAAATAATTTGTTGTTTTTAATTAAACAATAACCAAATAAAAACACCCCTAACATAAAACTTAACCTCAAACTTAACTCAATATGAGAACAAACATACATAGCACTCATTTTTGTTCTTTGGTCAAAAATTTAATGAGAATTTTGATTGTATACCAATTAATACAAACCGAATAGAACAAGGAGTCGACTTTGAATGCACTTATGCAAATGCTTTTACATTTCGCTAGGTACAGTAGCGGTACTAAATATAGAGCCACTAGAACACTGAGTGCACTCCAGATACCATCAACCCTCGAGAATGGCGAATGTATTAATATTTGTGGGTGCATACAGTTTCGTACCTTTGTCTTTTGAAGTCGACTGTACATTACGTATTAATAGACTTATTCCCTTTGTTCCTCGCTCACCGGGCTGGGCGCTGTACTCTAACGATATCGATAGTGAACAGAAAGCAAAATTAAATATTACTCCGATGTTATCGATACTCGGTCCCGGACCATTCATATCGAGAGCGTTCAGCGAATACCTACTCCAGCCCACAATATTGTTCGATCCGTGAGTAATAGCGCAATTACACCAGAAAATAACTACTCTTATAAATTATTCCACACTTTTGAGGTATCCTGAGCAATTTCATTCGATTTCTTATTATAGGTACGTGCTATTGATAAACTGGACTCCGAGTTACGCGGATGGCTGGACAATGGACAAGCTGCCTTAACAACAACCATTAATAAATACATGATTACTTTTCCTAACAAATAAGCATTTTATGAAATAGGAACAATGCTAAAAATAATTTGTCAGCAACAACAATGACTTGTATTAATGATAATATAATGAAACGTATCGTTTGCGACATAGGAACACGACATAATTCAATTGATAAGTAACACAATTAGCTGCACGTTCGTAAGAACGACCGGGGCCCGGGGTCGGTCCCGCTCTCGATTCTCCCACAATATAGTCGACACGATCAATCACCCGTTTCGATTCAATCACAAACAATCGCAATTGACCGCATCCTGTTCTCTCGATAAATGAGAAAAGCTGGTTGGGAAATAAATTCGGACGTCATCGGCAGTCCACGTCGCGGCCATAACCGCTTACCTCGGAGTCCTTTCACAACTCCTACTTCGAAGAATTAATGTCCACGTTCTATTTCACTTTACTTTCAAACTATTTCCAATACGATCGGATAGCCATTGCCGACGACATTGATTCATTCTATTTAAATTGCGGCCGCATGAATACTTCGAAGTAGGACGTCTGTCACAAATTTTACTGGAAATTACTAGTAACGATTACACTAAAGGCTACACTTCGTTGGGTTCAACCTAGATGCATTACCTACCCTGTATCTATCAAACGTCAACATTCATTCAACAATATAGAACAACATTACATTCCTACTACAGATATATTTATAATATATTGTATGTAATTATGTATAGTTTTAACTCTATAAGGGATGGATTTAGAGCGCATTTTACAAATAAAAATAAAATGTTGCCAAAGATAAAAATTAATAAAAATTCTAATTTAGAATATTTTTACTATAAATGCACGACGATTAATAAAATAAAGTTATTTGTACAGCGCGATATAAATTGATTTCGTTTACGATCGGTCTGAGAAATGTACTTAATGCGTTCTAATAGTATTTACAAGGTCACAACGAGACCTATGAATAAAAAATAAATTCTTTATTCAATTTGTGTGGTTATCTATGACTAGGGTATGCACTAGGGTGGAGACGTCACTGGCGGGGCCTGCAGTCGAGGCAGGTTACTTGCCTTTGGACTTCTCGGTAGTGGCGTCTTCCAAATTGCTGTCCCAGTCAAACTCGGTGACGCCACTGCGTGCCACTTCTCCCAAATGCCGCCACCGGTACTCGAAGTCTGTGTCTCGTTTCTTCAATGCTTCGAATCTGCAGACAATTAATTAGGTCATACCATTGTAGAGAATGTACAACACAGGTGTACACACGCTCAGAACCCTTACAACGCTCTACTCGTGCCGGCTACATATTACATGCGCAAATATAATTGCTCCGGCAATCACAAAGCATTATACAGCTCAATTAACAACACAAACATACCCTGAATTCCTTAAATTCGTACAAACGTACGCAAACCGAGTACGGCTAAAATTCTCCCCGAGACAAAATTACTTTGACACAGTTATCCAACTTTTGCTGTACCCGTAGTATCGGGCCATAGTGGAGAAATAAAAGAAATTCTATCGAATCAAGCGTAGGCACCGCAAACGTGCGTTAAAAAGGGCGCAGATCCCTTTAGATTAGAAACCCAATCTAAAGCGACATTTCTCAACTTATATCCTCGGGGTCACGGCGACACGCCGAGGTCGCCGCACAAATATGTATCGTATGCGCACTAAATCTGGCCACGCGTGAATTTCAACACAAAATTCGATTTATGAAAACACATTTTGTGTTACATTTTAAATCATTTATTACTGAAGTAAATAAAATCTGATATTATACTTTACGAAGTACGTAATTACGTGCGAACATGGTACGCGTTGGCATCCCTAACAAAAGGGTTTTGTTATCACCTCCGATATGGAAGCCCTAAAACCTTTCACGTCGATAAACCACATTATTAGTGAGCCGTGCGAGACGTAAAACAGCCGATCTTTACTTGATAACATTTGGTTTGTGTAAATGTAAAAAATTCGGTCACGCATTCGCCGAGACTCGAAAGCATTCGGGTTTATAAGGAATTTCGTTTTATTCCAACGCTGGGTGTCGAACTACTAAAAACGTTAACAAATAACGGTTTTTGTGCTATCAATGCGATACAAATATAGTAGGAGGGCGAGCTTAGTGTTATGACGCTATCCTCTTTGAAATTGGATTGCGATTGCTATTGCTGAGCCGAGATTGGTGCGATGAAAATTTGGATTTTATGTAAAACTGGATCCGCGATTGGAAATCGCAAAGAAATTGCGGGCTTCACACTGAACGGAGAAAATAGAAAATAGACGATACGTTTACTTTTGATATGACCGGGTCGGAGCGGAGCGTCGTTTACGTTAGCAAATCGCAGTCGCAGAGTAGGCAAAAGTAAATTGAGACGTAGAGCATCTATTTGTTTTGTCCTTTACACACTTGCCTTTGTTAATTAAAGTAAACATACCTTTTAAACATGAGGTTCTTGGCAAACTCGTAGAGCTCGAGGTCGAGTGAGTTAAGTCGCTTGATGTGTGCGATTTGAGAAGGCGACAGTGCGGCCAGGGTGGCGCCCGACACCGTCGCGTTGTGTTGTGTGAACGGCACCGCGAACAGCAGGTTGAATGTCTCCTCGAACACGTACTGAGATATCTGCACAAAACCAATACGCTTCATTAAACACAAATACATATAATCTACAACCACTATACCCTAATAGAAGTCTTGATCTATTTGTCAAAACCTCACCAATCAGCTTGATGGATCACCAAATTGAAAAGGACTGTAATTATGAGTGCCTTACACAATTAGGGTGCAGACTGCAGATGGCTTGACGCACCCTTTTGCTGGATAAACAAAACCATGAGCAACCCCTTGGCATCTGTCAGAGAGCAGTTATTCTCATCCGATCACCAGAGCGTAGCACAGTAGGGTGTTGAATGTAAAGCTCAGCAAGAAAATCATTGCTGAAAGGTTTTCTTTAACAAGAAATAAGCTATTGTTTATTTCCTTGTCGTCCGTCACTGCACCTGGCCCAATTAAAATGTATTCACTTAACGAAGAAATTGGATTATTTGTCATTTACGTTTTTTATTGGACAAGCAAAATCCTCAAATAAACTGGTACATAAAAAGCTTGTAAAAAATACGTCACGTCCAATTTTGGCTTCTCTCTTTCTGTCAGCGTTCCAAAAAGATGCTAATATTTGCAGCTCTTTGGAAAAGCAAAATGTAAACGTAGATCAATATTGGCAGTTCGTTCGGATCATCTTTACAAATATTTGTAAGTTAAATCGTCTATCCGTGCATTAGTTTGTTATGAAACAGTGTTATAGTTCGAAAATGGCGTGTTGTTCTAACTCTGTTCGTGACCACAATGCGTTGTGTAACGTCATAAACAAACATCCGCCATTTTAGAATGTAATTGAAGATTTCTTTTCAATCTTTCGATCCACCTTTTAATGTTTTCTACTTTCCGACGTAAATTTCTTTTGACTGGTACAGAACATTTATGGACCAATAAATTATTCGGAACATCATTCCTTCCTTGTATGCTTTCTAGATTAAAATTTGTAGTTGAACGATATGCAAGATTAATATCGCCGGATACGACGCAAACTCTGTCACATTCGGAAATAAAATCTGCAACCTCAACATTCAATTTGCAACCATCAAGAAAATGAATATTATCTAATCAATAAATTTCGACGCGAATTAATGAATCTATAATCATTTACATTTCAGTATCCATTGAATAAACTATATCAACTATTTCCCCATTAACTTCACAAGTGGATATGATAATGTAGGTATAACATTAATATTTAATTTGCGGTCGTCGCATAAATATTTGCATTACAGCAACATTCTAGCGCAGGAGTGTTGATAAATTAGTAGCGAATTAGTCATGTATGTCGTGTTATGCACAACTTTAATTGCATTATAATTTAACCTTATTTTCCTAATCGTATACAGAGGGGACATTTTAAATTGAAATTCTGTTATGTATACAGCAGATGTTACGTTACATAACCACATCCTATAGTCAGAATTTTAATTAGATTCCAGATTTGACAATAGCTACTGTCATTTTGTGAAATAATGATACCACATATAATAGTGTAGTGATGAACACAAAAATCGATAAACAATCAGTGTGTGTGTTTTATAATAAATGTTACAGAAAGTAACAGGATAGCGATAGTGATGACGGCGACAATTTATAAAATAACTTGTTACCATAATACATCTATCTGTTTTATTTGTCATGTTCCTTCATGATTACATTTTTTTATTTATTTCACACACAATTATAAAAGAAAAGTCTCAGATCGTTAATTAATCGTTAAAACTAAACTATTGGTTCAGAAATATTTAATTTCCTGATATACTTAGTTTACTAGAGTAAAATTATAAACAAGAAGAATCGATCCAGAAATATTGCATTTCCATATCGAATAATTTCGCAACGTCACTATTTAGTACTTGTCATAACGTTGCAATTTTTTTATTGTCAAATCTGGAATCGAATTAAAATTCCGAGTATAGTCTTAGCATTTTTTTTAATTAATATTTTAAATGCTAAATTAGTATACTTGATATTCTTGCACGCCTATGTAAATCGCCAAATCGATTTTTAATGAAAATTTTGAATGCGGAAGGAATAATCGATGTAAATAAAAATTTATTTCCGTTCGTTAATCTCGCCAAATCTCGAGAACAGCTAAACCGATTTGGCTGATTTTGATCTTGAAATATTGTTGGAAGCCCAGGGAAGGTTTAAAGGATGAGACAAAAAAAATGTGGCAATACGAGTACGTAGTAAGTTTACCGATTTAATAAATATACGAAGCAAGAGCTGTTATAATAAAGATAAACGTAAATATTTACTCAAACAAAACGTTTGTTTATACGCAAAAAGCACAGTTTACTTAGCTTAGGAGGTAGGTGTGGTATAAAAGTATTACTATTATCCCAGGAACGCGAGCAAAGGCATGGGGAAAGCACTAGTGTGAAATATTCATGAGAAAGTAAACGTTAAAGTATTCTACTTTACGTCCGCTAAAAATACAAGCGTCGGTTGCTTTTACGAAATTAAAACTATCCATGGATTTTATAAATTATTAAAGCAGTTAAAGCACAGGGTCTGCGGGGTTCAAGTATAAAAAACTGTAAGTTACACGAGGGTCGAAGATCATCTACTCGCAAAATGGCGTCAATCTGTAGGTGAATGAAAGCAATTCATAAAATGACCGCTCATTAATCGAAACTATCGATACATTGGAGTCAATCTTTAAAGAAAAGAATTACTAGAATACTACGAACAAAAAAACACGCTACCAGGCATTTACTTTATCGTTTCAAAAGAACTTTAGCGGTACCTACATACAACCAGGCCAACCCTACCACGAATGGGTAATAAACCCTACCACATGACAAGTACTAAAAGGAATCTATTAACACCTCATTTCCGACAACCAATGAACCTTGTCACCCGGCACTTGAGTTAACCCTTTCGTTACACGATGGTATAAAAATAGCCCAAATGAAGGGTTATTCTCATAACCAGTCGTCATAATATCGCGTTTAATTGTTCCTCGGGAAAGCATTACCTTACGGCGCGTGACAGGTTTCAGTTCAGCTTGACAGTTAAGATTGATTAGCTGCCCGCCATTAACTTGTACTTACGTTGCCCATATTAAAATACGATGACGCGATAGTCAAATTTATTGTCATTTTCTTCATTTGCTGTGGCTAATGAGTTCACAAAAAGCTTTACTCAACTAATACATAAATTAGAACGATAATTATTAAGCTATTTGTACGGTTGATTGATCTACGACGATATTTACGTCTCCCATTAGTGAATATTCTTGTTAATTAAAGTCACTTTATTTACGAGATTTGAGAAACAATTCTTCTAACCTAACCCAGAACAAACGGGCACCAAAACACGGAATCCCGACTTACAATGAAACATAATAACGAATTTAAAACACAATTCGTGTGCGGCGGTGTGCGGCAACAAATTTTACAAACATAAAATCATTTTAAAAACTTCCTTCTTTTACAAACTCACATAAAAATGATAAAACCGGTGTGCATAAAAATTTATCTACGCCGTAATAAGTTAGGGGACGTGTTTAAATGTTGCATACGCGTTTAGGTACTAAGTAGTGACGTCACTTCTAGGTAGTTACATTATGTGCGGTTCAGTGGCGGTGCAACCTAGTTTCCATGAAAACCAGCGTTTAACATAACTCCTTACATAAACCATAGTCACGCCTCGGGCGGGTACATAAGTAAGTCGGTTCTCACCTACAGTGCAAGTTTCGAGTAAGAAAATGTCAGGCGCCTAACAAGCCATTTCAGCTTCATGAATATCGACGAAAGTATTTATAGACTAATAAACCGTGAAGAGCTTCTAGGTAGACTTTGAATTGAGCTATCATCTGAGAACATTGTTTTGTAATTTTAGTTACGTTTGCGATAGTTAAACTTGTATATTAAGTCTTACGAGTTTAAGTTAGTTAAACCGAATTTACATTAGAATTTGATGATCATAGGATTAAAAAAATTAAGTAAATCACATCAGAAAACAACGAGACGTGAACACACGAAGTTACGATACTGAATTAAAATATCTTCCGAACAGATTTTTAGTACCACGACAAAAAAATCATAGAAGAAAAGTCCCCAAGCATACGCTCATTGCAAACTCAATCCTTAAACCAAACAACACAGAGCCTAAAACAAAAAAGTATATTGGCTTTACCGCTTTAGTAAAAAAGTTCAGTTAAGCCATACTGTTTATAGATGAGCAATGAATATTCATTTGAACAAAGACCAGTGTGGGTTGGAGTCGGGACAGTGCGGGACAAATGGCGCTGCAGATACGACAATGATTCAAGTGCAAATAATGGCCGAGCTTATCTTTGCGGGGTCACTGGACAAGGAATAAGTAATACCGGAGGCATAACACATGGGATTTGTGTTCTGCATACGCTGCATTTCCATTTCTGTGACATTGTTGCGAGTGTCGCAGACAATATGTATGAAACATTGCTCCCTTATGAGTAGGCTTTAGAAGACACATCTACATACTACTCACTAGGGAAGCTGTTAGTCGAATAATGACAATATTGCTATGTATCTAGCTATACACTATATACCGAAAGCCCAGCAACGATTAGCCATATTTGGCAATCGAAATCATTCAATAACAGACGACGAAACAAAACAATAGCGACAGATACCGACCATGAATCACGGCGAACACAGACTTGGAGAGTATGTAGGACGACAATATTTAGCAGTACTTATTAAATAAGTCATCCAACTTCATGACAGAGTAAATCTATCAGCAACAGTGTAAAATAAGTTAAGTAGGTACATATGTGTCAGCTCCTTTGTGAGCCCTAACGCGTGGAGCACACATTCCAACTTTTCAGGTAAAATCCACATACTGCACTTTGTTACATTAGCGTTAGAGTTTTGCATTTTACATACGTAGAAAGTTCAGTGGAGCGAACGACATCGGTGCCAAAGGTATATGTGCAACAAAATAGATATTGTGACCGTTCTACGGAGAAGATCACATCGAATGAAGACCGTCATTACCATTTCGCAATCCTTAAAAGTATTAACTGTTGAGGAAAAGAATTTATAGATTGTATTTTACACAAAGGGTGATAAGCGTTTGGAATAAATTCGCGTGAATTACTTCGGTAGAAATGTATATGTATTCTACAGGACAAGGACGACAGACTTATTGTTGGCCGTTCGTTCTAGATAAATATTGCCGGGGACCTACGTCTTATCGATAAATGGGATCATTCAGAAGATCCAACTCATTCAAATTTGCGAGTGAAGCTTTAGTAGATAGTAGCTATAAAAATACAAATTGGGAATCAATTACTTGAGACAAAACTCTTAAAGAAGCAAAGGAATTTTCTAGAAAAGTTTGTCCACTCAGCGTATACGTGGTTCGTAGACAACGGAGGCCTAAATGCGTACTCCCTTAAATTATTGATTAATGCATAAGTGGATTTCGTCGGAAATGTGGAGATAGACACTTAGGCAACTACTAAGAGGAAGGTACGAAGGTACTGGGTGAAGGAAAGTTAAATAATCAATGAGGTAAGAGCGATTTCTCGTAAGATGAGGTGGTTGCTCCACGAATTCTAAATTGCAATTTCAAGCCTACACCAGCTAAATACAACCCGGGCTACATTGTAAATGAACATCAAGACTAATAAATTAACACTGAATAAGTTAAAATGCCCATTTTAAATTTTAAAGTTATTTTAAAATGTGTAAATTACAATATTTTGCTTGCTCAACTTTATTCAAACTTAGTAGACACCATTAGTCATGAGCGTCAGACTTCTTTCACCAAGATGCAACTTACACGCACTTTCGATAAAATAGACTGTCCCATAAATCATTCACTCGTTCTTGAACATCGAACAGGGTAGCTCTGCTCCCCTAAAATAACACCGCGTATTTGCGCTTAAACATTTGGAATTTTATCTAAATGTTTCTGAATCCAATCCTAAGGACGCTTAATCGTAGTAACTAAAGCTTAAAACGTTTTCAGAAGTGTAAAGCAAACAGTGAACCAATCCAATCGGATTTATATAGATTGTGATTATCGATACGCGGGTAGGTATTGGACAAAATTTAGCAATTAGTTATCATTTGTAACCAACGTATTGGCAGTAAATGTGATCGTAGCTGCGATAACTTTGGCTTCGTGCTACGTTATAATTACTTTTGTACGATTCGGTAGATCCATTATTAATCGGTTATTTATAAAACTATGGGCCATCTAAGACTCATAAATTATACGTTTTTCTACTGCCTTCTATATGATATTATCATTACGTATAATCCAAATGGTTTGTAAAAGAATTGAAAGATATTACCGAATTTTATTGACTGTAAATTACATTTCAATCTTTTACGATTTATGAGATTCGAGAGAGTAAACATTTTAGACTTAGATCATGACATGTACTAACCTTCTGATATTCTGTAAGTCCGAAGTACGCCATTGCAGCAAGATTTCTTTTAGCAGAGGCGAGGAGGACCCTGTCAGTCTCTGCTGTGCGGTGCTTGAGGGTTCCGTTGTAGCAGCCCACCAGCGCCAGATCAGCTAACATACGAGTTTGCCGATTGTTCGCCAAGTTCCAGGGACAGGACATGAACTCTTCGAGAGTCACACCACGCCAAGAGTCACCGGAGTAACATGCTGGCACCTCAGCAGCTGCGAACAAAAAATATATTTGTATTTTCTTCAAATAACTAAGTGTTAAAATTAAAGGTTTTCATTATCCACTGCTTTTGAAAATATAATTAGTGTTAGATACTTATAACTACTAATTAGTAAGGTGTCTCGTGGGTATCTCCAATTTAGATTTACGACACGCAGCTACTAAAGGTGAACTCTATTCTTAGCGATACACATAGTAAGATCATTATAATGTCTCTTTCACAATTTATTTCAAAGTTATACAAAAATTAAAAAAGACTGCCTCGTTGGCCGAGTGGTCGCAAGTGCGACTGCCATGCACGAGGTCTCGGGTTCCATTCCCTGGACGGGCAAAGTATTACAGGCTTTTTAAAAAATTCTTAGTGGTGGCACGGAGTCTGGAATTGTGCCCGGTATAAGGCAATAGGCTCACACTATTACTATTACTGAAAAGTTGATGTTACATTGTACAGTGGTATAATGCGCACCTCTGCCTAGCCCTTCGAAGATAAAAGGCGTGATGTTGTGTTATGTTATACAAAAATATTTCATTCACAAAAGTGCAGAAACCACTCCAACCTGGCTTGATGATAAAAATTGATATAATATTTCGCGGATAACAAATAAAAACTTTTAAAAATAAAGGCTTGAAGAACAACTGGCATCAAAGATATAGTATCCTATAAAAACTTCTAACATAAAAACTTAGTTAAAAGTTAGCAATATCAACAACGGTTCGAAAAAACCAAAGATAATGGAAACATTTTTACGAAAGGTTTCACGAACCAAATATCAATATATCAAAGTTTGCGATTTAACAATATTGTTATACAGAAGGGAAACAAAATGGCTAACTGGCCAGGAATTCTCGCACGCGACAATATTTTTATTATTTATCATTTTAATTAATGTTAATGTCTAGAGCTGATGCTTTAATTCTGAGAGAATCGATAGCAGTCACGCATGTTTGCTTTCTCCGTGTTCATTCACAACACATTTATTATACCTATTTATCATTTGTTCAGTATCACGCTGTTACAAAGTAATAGGTAGTCAGTTACCAACTACCAAAAACAACTTCTTAACAAGCTTAATAAAACACGTCCGACTTCATTTACCGAATTTAATCGAAATCGAGATAGATTGCTGTGGTTCGCACTATTGACTTAAATTAAACACTTTAAAAATCACGATGGCTCTCTATAGAACAGCCAATATCAACGGAAACTTGTGGTTTTTTTATTATTTTATGGGATAAGCCAGTAAACGAGCAGACGGATCACCTGATGGTAAGCAATCGGCACCGCCCATGAACACCTGGAACACCGAAGGCGTCACAAGTACGTTACCGGCCTTTTGGGTTTAGGAATTTAAGAATTTTTGGGGATTCAGGGGTTGGGGGGGGGGGTAATAAGGCCTCCCGTAACCTCACTCATACGGCGAAACACAACGCAAGCGTTGTTTCACGCCGGTATTCCGTGAGGCCGTGGTATCGCTCCGGTCGAGACGGCCATTCGTGTCGAAGCATAGCTCCCCCACACTTAAAAGTGTGTGTGATACTCAAACTTAAATGCAAATTCGGTAATAATAATAATAAAAAGATCCATATAGATAGATATTTTTTATCGTCGTCGTTGTAAACCCTCAGACATAACGAGTTTGTCCTCAAATCTCATGAAATTGAAGACAAATAGCTGACACCTTCTATATTCCCAACCATTTTTGTATCAGCAACAATATCACGCAATATCTTACAACATTTGTGTTTGTGTGCGTAAAAATATTCGTATCACGCATCGAAACTGTTTCATTTAATTTATGAACATTGTTAGAAAAACTTGGGTATATTCCTTATTTACTCGTCGGTACTGAAGGGGCATTGAAATTTTGCCTTTAATGCATGACGGATTTTTCAGAGCAACCAAAATGTGTAAGGACTCTCCAACTTATTTATTTTAAAACATGAGCACCACTTAGAACTTAGGCCTCGGACTCGCAGACCACTAATCCCACATTACTGCGGGGTCAACCTTTCTGATCTTTGCTTCCAATTTGCCCTGTACGTATACCCTCCTAAACTTAATACATTACATCTACCCCAAAACGTATCAGTGTTGACACAGCTTAAAATTTCGCTTCAGAGTTGCCAGAGTGTGAAGATATGGAAAGGGTAATTAAAAATGATCACCCTGTAACACGCCAGCCAAAAGAAAAGGTAAGAAAATGTTTACTAAGAGATTTTTCGATAAACGCGTTCAAAGGGGCCTTGGAGATCAAAAGAATAGCACATATGGGGCCATATGGATCCCACTAATATAGACAATATTTTTAGAAAAATATAACATGTTTATTTATAAACATAAACCATTTTATACAAACGCGGAAATGAGTATCTTCTGAGGAGAAAATACAGACGCCCGAATTGAGAAGTTCTTCCTTTTCAAGATTGGTTATTAAAGTGGTTTCGAGTTGATTCAACCTTTTTCGGTAGTGGAATACGAATTGCTATCCGTATTACCATTGGTGTAGATACCGTAAATATCGATATCGTTTTGCTTAAAAATATAGCTTGGAACAAATCGATCAGTATTATATTGAGATCTTAATGGTAATTCTAATCTTAAGCTCAATTTGATCATAATGCGTCTGGACGGTAATTGCCAGTACTTTGACAGATCACAAGAACGATAAAATAGATTATAAATGGTAGAAGTATAACGATAGAAACATGATCTATGTAATAATAGGTTTAATTTAATACAGGACACACCGGGCCATAAACTGCTGTAATTTATAGTAACTACAATATTACTGCGAATATGTATGAAGCGGTAGAACGAACACATTCATAAATAGGGAATGACTAAGTATTATAATATTAAACCTATATAATCTGCATAATAACTCGTTAGTTTGTTTATATAGGAAAGATGAAATTCAATATTAATATATTCAGCATTTGCAAAGACAAATCACACAATATCGGACTCAAACTCACACAATAACTCTCAAATAGTGCAAATATTTGTTCCACGAACCCGTGACACATTTTGTCAAAACTGTACCACTAAACGACGCCTGGACCAAGGACTTGCTCCACAGATAAAAATGAATAATACTATTATTATTCTGTGACAAAATACCTATTCGAAGACAAAGTAGATAAAACTAGAATAGTTTTAGAATTATCTGGAACATTTATCATACCTATTTCTTACGGTTGGCCTGTGGTTCCACGCGATAAAACCTTCATTGAATGATGAACGCTTTTAGTTGAAGTGGAAAAATGTACCAGACTGTCGTTTTAGCGGCACCTATCTAATAGAGCTTAAGTCGAATTTACATTCAGGGGTACCTAGAAAAGGCACCTAGAAAAGTTGCCCTCCAATCGCTCCAATGCAGAAATGCGACGGTAGTTAGTACTCTAGATGCTGGACATTTTAATTTTGATATAATTTTAGGTGATATCTTCAAGGTAAATGTCAATCCTCCCCTATGATTAACAATGACGAACATTAAACACAGTTAAGTAAAATCGCGGGTTACTCACGCGAATATACTGAGAAAAGCTCTACTAGTTCATAGCGTGCGCGATCGCGGCGACCACGCACGCTGCTCATGAGGAAGAACCCCTCTGTGATTCGAAACTAGTAGAGCTTTTCTCAGTATATTGAATATTCACGTGAGTAACCCGCGATTTTACTTAATTTAGTATGTCTCACGATAGTTATTATAAAAACATTAAACGCAGTTGGCTAGACATCAAACCCAATAGCTTAGTGAAATCATAGTAAAACTAAGCAGAATTATCGATACACCTACGCTTATTGTTAAGTAGTAGATATCATATGAATAAATAAGGTAACGCCCTTCAAGTCTTACTCATCCGCACTTACTCATTGCATCGTGGGTGCTAAATCAGAAGTCAACTGGATGAACTTGGTGCATGAATCCTTAACACTTATTGAAACGACCTCTCATTGTTATGCCCTAACTCCAATAAAGGAATAAAAGGATGTATATAAATTTATGTGGAAACCAATCATTTTTCAATGATCGCAGTCTTTGTGTATCAATGTTCTTCAAGACGGTACAGTTGTAGTAATTGAGCAATCGTCCGCTGTAGTTATCGTATCGTCCGATACCCGTACGTACTAAACAAATATTTTTATGGCATGTCCAAGACACGATTGTGTTGTTTGTTAGATTTGGATTTCGAAATAGACATGTTTGGACTATTCCTGAATAGAACAAAAGGGACAAAGAAATTACAATAGATGTTTTAAATATTTTTGGGGAAATATTCTACAAAGGGTCGCTTGATGCCATCTACATCATGCTTTCTATTTCAATCATCATTAACAGTACATTTTACGACAATTACACGAGATTCTACTCATGTCCCTAAACAATTTGATCATTTATTTACCTGTAGCAGTTCTTCCTTGACACCAGTGCCGGGATCCCTTCCACGTGGCACCGCGTTTCACGTGTCTGTACTCCGACAAGTACCTGAACAAAACAATACATAGATAAACTAAAAATAAGGACTTTTATGTCTTCTCTCCATACTATCTTATGTAACTGAATAGATAGCAATTATATACGAATAATGTGAATATAAAATAAGCTCTATTAACATAGCTAAGGAAAACGATGGAAGGTTGCCAATCGAATTTGACCCCAAAAAATAAGTATTTCGACAATTAATTCATAAATTCAACACAAAATAGCCAATAATACCCTAATTGCTCCATCTATCAAATTAGTATACTATGGTTCGAAATGATAGAAAACCATTATGTAGAGAAACTATGAAATTAAAACCCGCCTACAAGATCTAATGACTATTACAAACATAATGGAATAAATTTGGGGGCACAGACATGATTACAGTAGACCATTATGAATTTGGGATGATATAATCATCTAGAGTCAACATGAGCAATTTAATAACTTCACCAAAAAAGGCACACGTTTGGAAAAAATCGAAACCGACTTATATTATGAAGTAGATCAACATAGTCTAATAAAAATATCATTTATTTTTTTACGTGTACGGAATGAAAATATTGTCGAATGATGTAAGCGCTTACTGAACGAAAATATTGACGAGGGTCGGTGACAGCTTTCGAACACAGCTTATTATGAAGCTAGCTAAATTACGACCCAAGGGAAACTAGCATTTAATGGGCTGTGTGACTCCCCTTTTTACCTGTCAGTAAAACTTTATTGATGTAGCTCATTCCCTGCTACAGACAAACGTGTCTGAGTCTAATGAGGTTTTATTTACATCTCATTTTAACCAGTCACCAAGTGTAAGCACAGAGAAAAGAATACTTTACTGAAATAAGTCCCTAAAATAATATCCAATTATGTATTCGATAAGCAACAAAGATAACTTTTCCCATTATAAATATCTACGTTATTCTAAGACAATAATCAATATTTCCCATGTGGTTACACTTAGACGGTTCTCAGAAATGGCACACATGAAAATGACTTCGTAAAGACTAAGAATTCCAATTTTATGCCTCTGCAAACTCAATATAGGGAGGAAGCCCAGGGGAATCATTGCTAACAAACGATTTGTACAGTCATTCCTGATGTGATGGACTGGGAGGTACGCACGTTTACGATTACGTTCGTTTCGCCTTCAATAAATTTTATATGAAAAAATTGAACGAGGCCACGTGTGCTGATTTTGGACCACGTTTCCTTAGAAATATTTTTTCTTCAAGTCAAGCCTCGTGCCAGACCCCCTGATGAGGTAAACGAGGTCAACATACGCAAACAAAACATCGTAACCGAGAATATCACGTATTCTTTTACACTCATGATAAATATTCTGCGGCAACCTTCCATATATGAAGACCTTTAGCATTTCGTCCAAAACATTCTGATATACAGGTTTTCTAAAAATATGTATCAAGAAAAAAATCAGGAGAATGTAACAGGGGAATTTATGGTTTTGCATTAAACGCAATTACACGTTTACAGCAGCTTAAAGTAAAATATGTGCTATTAAAGGCTGCACATAAGCAAGTATAGTGTAATTAAGTAAGCTAAACCGGGTATATGGAACATTATTCGCAGGTTTAAGCTAGCACCGTGAACCGATCCAATTTAAGGCTACGCGTTCAACAGCAATGTAATTATGAGAATAGAATCAAGCTCACTGCACACTATAACTGGCACAGAAACTATACTGAGACATAAAATTGATGCTTATTAAGTTAAACGGTGCCATTTAATCTCGAGGGTCTAGACCAACAGCATGTTTCAAAGATAATAAGGTATTACCTAAAACGATCGCACATAAAGCTCTCGATATCCTTACAGCTCTCATTGTTCTTTTTTTTTCAATCTAGAAACTTCTCTCACCTGGACACAGGCTCCCGTAACAGTGTGATGTAGAAGTACCGTCGATGCACAGCGGATCCCTCGTGCCGGTCCAGTTCCCCGCCCACACACGCAGTCAGTTCCGTGAAGTCAGCATGTAGACCACACCTGGGAACAAAGGATAATGTTCTTTGAGTATGCGATGCTATTAATAATTCACGCTTTTCGTGATAAAGAATTCTTTTACTTTAGTAACTCTTGCGGAAAATTCGCTGTTCCTTGAATGAAGCCTGCTCATTTGGTTATTATCTGTTATGAAATAATTATAAATCCTTGAAATCTCATAATTAAGCCATTATTAACAATTTCAACAAAAGTAATTTTCGATTTCTTGGTTTTATTTAAATATATTTTCTACGTATTTGTACTACACGCCCGTGTGAATGAACAGTTACGTTATTTATTGCAATAAAGTTTCTTCCCCGAACTTAAACAACTTATTATGTTTCAGGAACTACACGCTAGTTTAAAATCTTGAACAAACTAAATTATTAAGAGCGTAGTACTTTGTTAAAACTTAAAACGCGATCCACAGAAGTCCGAGATCGTTCAAGACTTTTTATTGAAGATGCAACATAGTTTAGTAACAAGTTCAACGTTTCAAAGTTACCTTAAAAGGTGTAGAGACAGCACCCTCAGCTAAGTAGAGATCAAAAGGTCGATTTAAAAATAAGCGCAGAGCTAGGATGGAAGGTAAAATGGACGCAAATATTTCCCGTCACTGGAATATAAATCGTGGTAGAGACAGAACAGAATGTTCGCTGAAGAGCCGCGTGAAGCGAAGCATGAAGTCACAGATAGGTCGGCTACGACCACGCTCACTGCTCCCGATAGTCGATAGCCGCATCGGAATTGAATCCCTAGCTTTCCAATAAATTCTCACGCTCCCATCTTGTCAAGCTTGCTTAGTATTCATAATCCTGTAGCGGTGTTCATATTCTATTGAACAGATTAACCTGCTATGCATCGGGGCATAAATTACTTTGATTCAGCAACAATACCGAGCCGATGTTGGCACGCCGAACGGCAGCGTTTCGCTTGATAATATTGGATAATCGGCATTAGGCCCGCCACGTTTACGTGTAATTGACATCAAACGATCTCCACATGCCGATCGCGATACCGATACATGATACATTGTTATATAACGTGTCGTAAATGTTGTTTGTCTTTGCTGAACCAGTTTAATGAAACATCACGGATAAAAATTCGATTTGCATGCGTTTACCGTAGTTACCCATAAAGGGAAGAGGTTTACCTTCAGTCAGACTGCTCGGCGGCGAGGCGAGGGTTTATAGCAAACGTGCGTTTAATCAAGATACAGAGTCGTGGTTGGCAACCAGCCACACTACACCTTGTCGATACAACTCTGTTTATTACCCATTCGCTTTATTATACTGTCATTCTAATTTCATAGCTCTTTATGCCACAATGAATTGTAAATAACGTGGAAATAATTGCCAACAAGCACTCCCATACAAGGCGCACTAATGACATCTAGACCTCGCTGCAATTACAGATTATATGTGTAAATTGGTGATATATACAATTACCGCAACGTGACTGACGACTTATGCAAACAGAAGCTATTATGATAGTGTCAAACCACTAATGTTTACCTACATGTCTGACTCAAAAATGTTTTCCATCTGGCAAAAAGCCATTATTTCACGTTTTAAATTCGAGCTATTCCTGCAGTCATTATCGTTGAGTTTTAGAAATATCTACATAAATATAAATAAGCATTAATTCACTAATCCTCATCTTCATCAATATGTTGTAAAACTCACATTTTATTTTCATTGAGGTAAAGAGAAACGAAGTGATCGTTTATCTTATGTAATGAATGTGTAACACATTTATTGTGAAACGAAGTTACTTCAAATTTTATTTAAGAAAATAACAAGCGCTCATTCGGTAAATCATATTGCGGGACAATTCATGGCATGGCCAAAAGCTCCGTGCTTCTGTGTACAAATATGACGTTATCAACGTTCGCGGAGCGCATCGCTGCGAAATGTTGACAAATGTTATTGTCCATTAGCTAGTAGTACAGGCAAAGTGTGACGATAACGGCTCCCGTAGGATATTCGAGCGCGGATTGGCAATACGCCACTTCCCTGTGAACATGCACGCGGCCGAGCGGGCTCTCACAGCGGTTCATTCACCGCCTGAATGCCAACAACACACCACTCGCCCCCGATGCCACGCGTTGAATTAGCTAACGTTTAACAACAATACTGCCAACCTTCCCAAATATATTACAGTCGTTACACATTATCTCGTTGCCGATCTAAATTCCGAGCACAAAAATGTTGCGTTAGAACGTAAGTATCTAGTTTCTAATAACGATATCGTGTGTGCTGCGGGCTGTCCAGACTAAACAATGCTTTTTATGAGCACCCTAATCATTGGAGAATCGTTTAAATGTGCCCCGCATTAACGTAAATCAAAGAGCCACGATCATTATTTATCGAACAAAAACGTGATGTTTCTGCTGATCGATCGATACCACCAACGTCAGCCCGGGACCCGAGTACCTAAAGATAGATTGCAGTAAATCATTAAAAAGGTTTTTAGCAAGCGCATCGCTCGGTCACTGTCTTCTTTTAAATATTCACACTAAACACTGGCATTCACTTGACGTCACCAGTCTATTTGGGCTTAATGTCGTGTCAGCCATGCATAATTTTAACATATTTTTTGCCATTTATCATTTCATATTTTAGAATAGCATCGTTGAGAGGTGGAAATATAACACAAAATATAAAACAACATTCATGACAGGACTTGAAGACAGTAGAAAATCGCTCGTTATTTTTGTGCCAATCATATCTCTGCGAAACACGGACACAAAAACACGAAACTAATGCAATAAGTTCGAGAAGCTTCAAATTATTTGACATTTCATTCCTCATTTACTTTAAATAAACTATATTCAAATATATCTTCGTTGTTCACTTCACTTAGCACGTCACATTAACATTTTCAACACAAAACGAGATGTGCAAGTTACGTGAGTGCTTGCAAGGCGCCACATTTGAACATATCGCATCTATCATGTCTTCGTTGAAATCCCAAAATAATTAGAACCTCGGTCATTTCATAATTACGGCTGAAAATGTAAGCATCGGAGGCTCGGAGCGCAAGTCGAGTCTCCCAGTGCGCGACAAAGACAAATGAGATTTGCTTCCGACAGTATGAAAGACAAAGCTAGTAAAAAGCGCGGCGCGCGGTCGCACTATGAAGGCTAACAAAAGCTATATTGCTAGTTATACCATTTTTCCACGCGTGCTGGATTGCGAAACCAAGCACAAACTTTGTTTTCAATTTTCTTCTTTCGTATACAGAAACAGAGTTTAACCGCTCCTATCCGAGCACAGTTGTTGGGAAAATAAAATATTTTTGCTTTGTATACAATTTTGAAAAGGATGCCAACTACTATTACCGAATATAAGAATATCTTGTTTACACATGATAACGGAAATTTAAATTCATCTGGATTAAGTGGTTTGTCCACATTTGGGGAACGTAGCTACTATCTTTTTCGAAGAAAACCCAGAAGTCAGTGTCGACAGCTGCGCCGAGCAAACATTCAGAAAAAGAATAATGGAAGATCCTATATTAAAAGTGTGTTATATACATACGGAAATGTCGGTCGTCGTCTGTAACGATCTATTGTGTTGGGACAGGCGACGACGGCTGAATAGATATGAATATGTACATCATAATAAGCTATTAGTAACTAATATTGTCATGATAATATCTCCAGTCTATAGTAGAAAACAGATACTGAATAGTAGAAAAAATAACATTAAGTAAATATTGGTAGACCGTGGAAGCATTCATGTCAAATGACTTAACTCGTCTCGTCTCAGTCAAAGAGCGGTTAGAATTTGGCAGAAGTGTTCTGTGACACAAACGAATATAAAATGAAAAGCGACAAAGACACGTCTGACAGGAGCCCACCTCTAACGGAAGGTAGTTACCGGCTTTGTATTTAAGGCAAACATAATCTGCTAATCCCTACAAGCGGATCCCAAAGTGGCGAGACGAGCCACTACCAAAAATACTCGTGTTTCTAGGAGCCCTCCGATGTTACAAATAAAACGAATTTCGTTCCAAGACAGAATGATTGATTTATTTGCCTTCATTGTTTACTCCGAATTATTTCCTACGATTCATGTTTGTATATGCCTTTCCAAATAAGCCGCAAGGACCATGTAAGCCACTCAGATATTAAAACATTTTCCTAATGACATACTTAATCGAGAACTCGTAGTGAAGCCGTGGAGGTAAAGACTAATTTGATGGCCAGAAAGGATTTCGTCGACCCTCAGTCGTATTAACGCGGTTTCGACATGAGAAGGAAATTACATCTCTTTTTATTTCGTCCCGCCGCTCTCTCTCTCTAATGAAAACCTTCATTGCGGTAATCCTCACATCTAGGGGATTACTCAGTGTAACTTGCTAATTGCCACATCTCTCATAATATATGAAGGAGGATAGTTTATTATAACAAAATTTCGCATCCGTTGAAAGATTATGGAGAAAACGAAAAACCAAAGCGATAGCTAATTTTAGATGCTTTTATCTTAAAATAAGACCACGTGTCGTTAGCACGTCGTACCTCCATACAAGAAACATTCCTTTTACTTTGATGTTCACGAAAATTGCAGAGATAAGAAAATTTGCGTTTTACCATTAGAAATACATTACTTTGTACATTCCCGTGTTAAATTAACTGGTGATATATTAGATGAGCCGCTCACGAGTGCTTCATGACTTATTTTCATGTTATTGGCGTCAAATATATTGGGTGTAGGAATACTTGGAATATAACTGTTCGGGCAATTTGTAAGTCATCTGTGTTAGCTTGCGAAGCCATGAATCCATCTTTCGATAGTAATGAGCCATTTGCGAACTTTAAACCCAATCGCTATCTGCTTAACGAGCATAAGTTATTACTATGCATCACGAGGACCAATTTATTATAGAACTACTGAATGGAACTTTGTCATAATAATGAACAGATATGAATATGAATGATATAATAACAAAATGTATAAGTGAGAAAGTGATCATGACTGTAAGTGTCGTGAGATCAA